CCTATTGATTTTCATTTTTTATTTGTTTTTGTCCCAAAGACATGCATGAAGGGTGAAGGAAACATAAATAACTTCTGCTGCAGCAATCATAGGAAGTCAAATCACAGTATGATGGGAATATTATAGGCACCTGAGAAAGAGCAACAGGAAGATTATTTGATGCAAATCTTCCACCAGATAGGCTCCCAGTAGGTTGTTGAACCCCAACAGTTGGAACATTACTTAATGTTGAGTTTCTTGATGTGAGTGTACCAGGCATGTTGGGAACATTAAAGCTACCATGAATATTATGCAAGCCCTGAATATTGCCTGCAAAACAAACAATACAATTGCATGAGTTTCGAAGAACTTAGTTGTGTGGAAATCCAGTAAAATATACCCACCAGCATGATGGAAAACAGGAGAGGCTGCACCAGACTGACCAGAGAAAGATGTTGCAAAAGAACGTCCACTACTGTCTTGAAGATTTGTTGCTGATCCATTGATAGAAGACTGCAACCAGATACACATTATAATTCTCAGTTAATAGACAGACATGTAATACAAAAATAAAAACAATAATCAAACAGAAAAACAATATTGACAGCAGACATGAATCACGTGACACATCCAAATTTGATTTTAAATTTCGATTAAAAAGACAGTAGACGATAAAAGGAAGAATATTTCCAAACATTCCATCATTAATGATCCATAATTACTAATATTTCGAACCAATTAACTTTTAGTGGTGCATCATTGACCTATAATCAATACATTTGTACCCTAAGTTCCTAAAACCAGTATGCCAGAACGTACTGATATGGGGAAGCACATACACATATGCGCAAAAATAGAGGCAACAGAATCCAATATGTTGCTTCTACAAACACGAAAATATAGGTCAGGTTATTATCTGCTAAAACAACTAAATGGACCTACAAAAGATACATATTTCATTTAGACAAACTAAAAAGGGAAGTCCGTAAACAAGATTGCGACTCCAAATAAACTGTTCTCAGTTCAAGTAATAATACATTTAGTAACCCCGACATTTTATAAGTGTCAACAGGTCATGCAAAGAACCATTCCTCGTTGAGAAGCAAACCAGATTTGAGAAGCTGCTACAGTATTTATAGCCTGAAAGGGACAAAATAGTTGTGAGAAGCTAACCCCAGAAAGGTAAGGAGGTTACCTGTGTACATTCAGAAGATGCTGAACCAAACCCAAAGTTACTAGTAAAACAGACCCAAAACACTTCACGCATGTTGAACAACAGTAAACTAAAACTTATTTTCATTGACTTCCAATAAATGGCACCAAGAAAATGATGTCCACCTAAGCTTATCAACATCGCATTTCGCTACATGCCACTATCTTTTTCCACGTTCCATTTTCCACTTCCAATTAAAGATTGCATACCGTATTTTCTCAAATTAAATGACAACCGATGCATAAAAAAACAAGAAAAATATTACAATGTAGCATGTCATACTATTTATGAAGTTTTATAAGCGGGGAAAACCATAAGGAATTAATTCAAAAACTTTGGGCCCTGAAACCATTTCACAGTATTCAAAAGAAGGAAATTTTGCAAAGCAAGAAAATACTACAATCCTTTGACAAACCTTCCAAATAACATCAATAAAACAAAACCAAATTCGCATCAGACATGATAATGCAAAAGATTTTAGGCTAAAAGACGAGAGCAAAAGAAAAACAGAAATACTCAGTGTAATTGATTCAGTATCATCTTAAACAAACTAATCTTCCGTATTTCATTGAAGAGGAAATGTGGAGAAAGGGAAAGACAACTACAAATCGGATATTCTCTGTGGAGCTATAAATTTCGTTTCCAACAACTAAGTTTTCAATAATTATAAAAGAAATGAATGGAAAAAATAAACTACTATTCAGGTCAGTTCAGTTGAGCTAATCGATCGTCCCTCCACGTTTTCCACGGTTTCTCAGTAATCAAACAGAAACATCAAACAAGAAAACTCATAAGATCGAATTTCAGCCAAAAAAAAATTAGTGCGATTGGATAACGAACTCGGACAAGTCAAGATCGAAACCCAGGAAATAGTGAAAAGAACCTGAAAAGTATATCAACGAGCGAGAGAGCTTTAATTTTCTCTATTTTCGGTGAGCTGAGCCAAATAGCGAGAGTTTTTGCGTTTCTGCTTGGTTCCAGTTTATCTGAGTTTGCCCTGAACGGAATGAGTGAAAAGGAAGCCCAAAAGAGATGGGCGAGCAGGAAGAAATAAAATACGTCGTCGCATATGCTATTGAAGACAAATGTTTTGCCTTCGGGAAAATATGGCCCAATCCAAATATTTTGAGCCCCTTTTTAAAAGCCTAATCATATTAGTTTTAGGGTAAAATATACTTATAACCACTTAATTATTGTCTTTTCTCAACTTTAACTAGATGCACTTAGTGAGACAAATGTTATATCAAGGGTTCTAATCTACAAAATTGAAAGAGACAAATATCTTTTTTTTTAGATAATCAAAATTTTATTACCCAAGAGCAGTTAACTGCTACAAAACAATAAAGTAAGATATACAAGAAGCACCCTAAAAAAGAAAGGCAATCAAGCCATCAAACTATACCCTATTGGTTACAAAGATTAATATTAACATAGTCTAATCTACTAATATTTCTACCCCTTAGATGAAGACCAACCAATTCCTTTATAACATTGAACATTTCTTCAACAGTAGAAGAATGACTTTGAAAAAGCCTCATGTTTATTTCATTCCATATAGTGTAAATCAAGGCATTAGATGCAACTTTCATAATGTTAGTTAGTAGGGATTTATCCTTCCAACACGCAGCAGCCCAATCAAAGAGAGCATCCCAAGAAGTAAGTCTAAACCGTAATCCATTAAGAGAAAAAATAGCAGACCATAGGGAGGAAGCAACCGTGCACTCAAAGAAAATGTGGTCTCTGGTTTCTATAGCAGCAGCACAAAAAATACAGTTTCTGTCATTAACAACCCCATTTTATGAAGCCTTTCTTTCGTAGGAAGACGGTCAAGAAAAGCTATAACACCCCAACCCGTATCCGACCCGAATATGAATTTGAGATGTCACATTGACTTTTAAAAACGATATTCTTACAAAATATCAGAAAATTTGAATTTATATTAAGAAAATACAATAATATATTGTTGAATCATATTTGTTATAACCAATTTAAGAAAATATATGTTTATGAACAGTAAAATATGGTATGAGCAGTGAACAGTACCGTAGGAACATTAGTGAACAGTACCCTACTACAGTACCGGATGTTAAAATTTTCCAGATTGTCATAGGGGAACCGATTCCCCTGCTACAGAGAACTGATACACTGCTACAGTACTGTCGAAAAATATGTATAAATTCATAAAAATCTAAGGTTTCATCCGTATAAAATTACCATTCACATATACACATTTAAAACATTACAAAATTCAATCATATGATTTTACACAACCGATTAAAACATATCGGATTCAAATCTTTGTTTACATGCCAACCACTATAAGTATTACAAAATACATACTATTAACTTTTTTTCTGATCTGATCTTTGGAAATGAGAAACTGACCTGTCTTGCTTAACTTTTATCATTCTTCCCCTTTTTCAGAACCTACGCGTGAAACAATCACACGCTAAGTCGTTGACTTAGCGAGGCATATAAAACATATAATAAAACCATAAAATATTTCATATATCAAATGCACACATGTACATATATGATTATCTTCTTTCTTGTCATTATCCTATTATTATCATTAATACCTTTTATCATATAATCATATACTTATCATATTTACACATCATATACCATTTCATAAAGAAATACACTTAACATCATATAATTCATGTAATACAGTTCATATAACTACAAACATATATATTTTCATATAACCAATACATGAATCATGTAATTTATTCCATATAACAAATCACATAAACATATCACATTCAGTATATTTGTTTAATCTCTTTATTAGCCCATGTACACCAGTGAGAACTTAAGGTATGTGAGTACATTGAGGTTGTGCACTATTATGCTGTCACCACAGCTCGTATAATTGTCCCGAATGACCTATCCAGAGGTCATAAAGAACCTCGACAACTGTCCATAGGTCTCGAAGAACCTAGGTAAAATATTGTCCATATGTCCCGAAAGACATAGGTAAACCCTCGACTCTTGGCATGCCAATTATACCACTAGCTCTCATATCACATAACATGGGCATTATCATTTATATCATTTCACACATTCACATGCACATGTCACTTTTCATATGATTTTATAATCATATGCCACTTTGCTTATAACACTTCTCTTGTGTTCATATGACATGTAAATCATTGTCATCTCTTGTTCTCATATGCTTCACATACATCACATATATCATATTCATGTCATATATTCATATAGGCTCACGGTTTTATCACTTATTATGTCATTTCACATATACACTTTTATATCACATAAACTCATATCTTCTTATTACATAGCTCCTTTTATTTCTCATGTTCTTATGTGAGCACATATGTCATGTCTTGTTTACTTATGTTCATATATATACATATATATATATATATCACACATACATGTACTCACATAAATCACATGTAAAAATGCACTTACTCTATAGACATATACATATATTCATTTCATTGCTCTTGTGATCACATATTTCTTAAATTTTGCCATATACCATATGTATCACATATTGCATATTCATGTAATCATGTAGATCATGTCACATATAATAACATATACCTATTTTCATGTACTCATGCACATATAAGAATTCCATAATATTTTAGAAGTTACTTCTTACCATAGTAACTCCATTACTGGCTCATCGCAAGACAATGTTCGTTCAATAACATAGGTACAAATTAATTTGCACTCACCTTAGGCTTGCTTTGATTCGATCTTAATCCTTTGATTATTCCGAAACTTGTTTAGGCTCAATATCTACATAAATATAACATTTCAAAACAATTACTAGAAGCCTAAACCTTAAACTTGTTGTTAATAACTTAAGCCGGTTTAATGAACCAAAATTCTATTTTTCCATTAGGGGGAATCGATACCCCCAGGGGGGAATCAGTACCCCCTGCGTAATCTGGAATTTTTCATTCAAGCCCAGAAAATCACTGTTCATGCACAAAAAATCACTATATCAACTTAAGTTCTCCATGTTTCATTCCCTTTTCTATTATTAACTCAAATATACATACTTAAACTAATTTATATCCATTTATGTCATCTTAAACCTCAAAATCCCATCTTTCATATGGAATCAATAATCATACCCAAATTTTCAATATGTTCTAATTTCAATTCTATCACTTCATATCTCTTAATTAAGCTGATGACAAGTCGAATTTAACTTCAAATTCAAGTTATCAACTATTTTACAGAAATTCTCTTAAAAACCCATTTCCTTTAATCTTTCATAACTTCTTTATCTTTTGATTATAAGATAAATTAAGCTTTCTTTAAGCTTAATTATCATCTAAGGATCAAAACCCAATCTTTAATTGAACAAATAATCAACTAATGAGGAAACTTACCTTTATAGCCAAAGCCACCGTGAAGAAGAGGAAAACAAGGAGAATAAGAGAAAGAGAATTCATGAACAAATTTTTGCCTTCATTTCCTCTTCCACGTGGGTTAATATAAACCCATCTAAAATTTTAATTATTTCTCCTTTGCAAATGACCATTTTGCCCTTTAATTCTTTGGATAATTACTAACAACTTTCAGGAAATTTCCCCAAATAAATCATTTAACTATTCAACTATTCTACTTTTATCCCCAAATTTCAAAATTTTACAATTTAATCATTAACGCGTAATTTGGGATGTTACAAAAGCCATCCAGGCTATAAGGCTATGCTTAGGAATGAGATGAGGGAACCAAAGTAAAGATTGCCATTAAACTTTATGATTTTTAACTCTAATCTCGTTCCAGATAATACTAACATTTGGAGTATGAGAAGACAAAATAGAGGAATCTTTAGTCCTCAATTTTAGAATTTGTTTTAAACTCCAGCTCATAGTTGGTTTAACAACAACAGACCAAAACTCGTTAGTATTGACATGTAACTCCTTAACCAAGTCACCCACAACGAAGCTTCACCAGCCATAATTTTCTTAATGACAAATATCTTATTTAATTAATATTTAAATTAAGAAAACTAAAATATTATTATATAAAAAAATTGAGAGGAGAACCTCTTAACGAATTCAACTTTATTTATCAGAAAAATGTATATATTATAATTAGCTTTAATTTTATATTAAATTTTAAAGTTATGTATGTATTGATTTTTTTTAATGCTATTGATATGTTTATTTGATTTAGTTCAATAATTTATGCATGTAATATTTGATTACAGTATAGTTTTTATAGAAAGGAGCATAACTTGGTGGATTATTCAGTTTGCTGGGCACATGCCTGCCTTATAGGCTCAACGTCATTAATTAACAAACACGAGAGGTGACCGGCTAATTAACTATTAAATATTACGTGTTTAACTTAAGTCGGTCCATCTGTCACCGGCCAGCCTATCAACAACTTTTCTGAGTAGTATCATTTTTCTTCGCTCTTTGCAATTTTTTTATTTAACTCCTTTTTAATAAATTATTATTCCTCTGATAGATGGTGTGCACGTAGAATGATTTCATATTTGTTATTTTGAAGGAAAACATGCATGAGATTTTGAAGAAAAATAATTAAATTAAGTCAAGAATACAATTGAATAACGTAAAGAATAATATCTTTTAAAAATAATATTAGAGATTGAAAAAAAGGTGACTACATGTTTAGTACTTAATCTATTATTTTTATTTTGTTTTGACACTCAAACTTTAAAAAAAAATCATATAAAATGTTTAGTTTAGATTTCATTTTGGTACCCGTCGTTAAAAACTTAATAATGATGTTGACGTGTCAACATAAGGTAATATCACATCATTATTAAAAGATAAAAAAATTGCACGTCAACAATTCTATTAAAATTTCAACAACATGGTATCGAAATAAAACATAAATTAAATGTTGGGTATAATTTTAAAAAACATTGAGTACCAAAATGGAATAAAATTAATAATTTAAATACTGAGCGTATAATTTACCATTTAAAAAACATGGAGAGTATTTTCAACCACCACTTTTCCTTTGAACTTTTTTTTCTTCTACTTTTCTTATAAAAGAAAGTTTTCTTCGTAAAAAATAAGGGGTTGTTTGTTTACTTTCGAATAATTAAGCGTTAAATGATTCAAATATTGAATGATTCAGAGACTCTGTATGAATTAGCTCTGAATGTGATATAATATTTGATAATGACTCTGAATCATTCAAAATGTACTTTGATGTTGAATCATTCATCACTGAATCATTCAGAGGTGAGAAATAAATACGCTAAATGCTGAACGATTCAGCATTTAGCGTTGAATGATTCCATTCAGAGCCAAACAAACAGCCCCTAAGTCTATCTTTACGTTTATATCAATCAAAATAAATTTATTTAAACTAATAAAAAGTTAGATTTATTTATGAATTATATGACGTTTTTATAAGAAAAATGGAAATGAAATACTTCCTTTTATAGAAAAAAAAAGTTTTTCCTCTCTATTTTCCTTATAAAAGAAAGTCTTTTCATTTTTTAAAACAACATTCATTTTTTTCGATTACATTAATTTAAATGAATTTATATCTAAAATAATAAATTAAACTATACAATAAATTATTTTAATTCATGGGATTTATTATTTACTAAGCAATATTAATAGGAGTATTTTGTTTTACATTAATATCTATATTTATAAAAAATCAATAAATTTATTTATTTGTACAAAAATAAAATTACTATATTAAATAATAAAATTAGAGTACTAGTTTTCTTATATAAATTCTTTTAGGAAAATACTAACTTCGTAAAACTATCTAATTATTCTTTAAAATGAAAACGATTTAAATTACTACCCAAATAGCGAGCACGTATATTTGTCGCATAAGTAATTTTGTTATTAAAATGTTGTGAATATGAAACAATTGCTACACCAAGATGGCCATATATATATATATATATTACATAGTCAGATTTATAAGACTTTATCATTGAAGTATATTAAATTTTCATTTATTTATCATTATATCATTTTATCTTAATGGTGATCTTATACAATCTTAGTGGCACAAGCATTAAGTGGAGACCTCATAATTAATAAATAACAATATGTTATATATGAACGATTAGGAAACAAATTCATTACTGGGCAAATGGAAACATTCTTCGATACAAAAACTATGGTATGATTATGATATAGTGTAGGGATATTGAATGTTTGATTGATTGATATGTATGCTAAATAATTATATGTTAGAATGTGTGTAATAAGAATAATATCTTCACTTGTTTGCCCATTAAATTATGATTATTTCATACTAAAAATTAGTGACATCAATGATCAACCCACTAAAGTGTAAGGCATTGCCTTTCCTAGTCACCCTTTAAGAAACCCAACCAACCTTTCCATTATTTGGAAGTTTAAAACTTTATTTTAGCCACACCACCATTAGAGCCAAGAACAAAAAACAACCTTTCTCCATAAATTTCCAAGCTTTAAAGTAGCCCTTATCTTTTGACAAAAAAAAATGCTCTTTTCTCTTTATATTCATTATATTTATTTCCTTATAACAGAAAAAGAAAAAAGAAAAACTTTTACCCAACATTGATTTACCAAACTTGAAACTGGAATCTAAAAAGTTATTTTTTTTCTTTCTCCTGCTTATTTTCATTTCTGTTTTCAGCACCTTTTGACAGTTAATTTCCTGTTTAATTTATTCATTTTGGTTTCTCATTCATTTATTATTATTTATGAACATGAAACGACAATAAAAAAATATCTAGGAATCTGTCAATGTCTAAGGTTGTCACCCAGTTCAAACCAGCTTGTGCCTTGCGAGATTTGTGCAGTTTTTATCTGTAATTTGAACTCCAATTGGAACTCTGTCAGATTCCAATATACGTGCTTAAAATATTTTATTTTTCACTCAGGGTTTCAACTCCTATTAAGAGCAAAAAAGAACCAGCCTTTATTGTCCAGTTAATTTCTGGATTTTGAAAGGATGGGTTGTAAAGTATTTGAAGCTCTGTTCTGGGTTTCTTCAATCTTGTGTTTAGCATTGTTTGCTAGAGGGTTTACACCTGCAGACAATTACCTAATTGATTGTGGATCACCTACTAATACTGCAGTGGGAGATCGTGTTTTCATAGCCGATAAGTTAGCCTCAAAGCTCCTTTCTTCCCCTGATAATGTTCTTGGAAACACTTCAAAATCTGTCACCTCCTCTGATGATTCGTCGCTCTATCAAACGGCAAGAATCTTTACTGGTATTTCTAAGTACACATTTTCAATCAGTCGGCCTGGAAGACACTGGATTCGCCTTTATTTCTATCCATTTGTTTATTCTAGTTACAATATGAGTATGGCGAAGTTCGATGTTTCCACGGACAACCATGTTCTTCTCAGTAGTTTCAGTGTTCAATCTCTTATGGTCAAAGAATTTTCTGTTAATGTAATTTTCAATAGCCTTGCCATCACATTCAGTCCTTCAGAGAATTCATTTGCTTTTATAAATGCCCTAGAAGTTGTTTCAGCCCCTGATCAGCTCATCCCGGACACCGCCCGGACCGTTCAATCTTCAGTGGGATTCCAAGGCCTAACGTGGCAGGCGCTACAGACGGTAGCTCGGGTGAATATGGGGGGATCTACTGTCTCCTTCAAGAATGATACTCTTTGGCGAACATGGGTGCCTGACCAGCGTTTCCTTGTAGGAAAGAACCTTGCCTTAAGTATATCAAATATCAGAGCTGTTAAGTATGTTGATGGTGGTTCGACAGAAGAGATCGCTCCAAATTCGGTCTATGGTACCTGCACCAGGATGAACTCCGTGAATGATTCCACCAGCAACTTCAATGTGACTTGGGAATTCGACGTCGATCCTG